CGTAGCACTGCAAGTTCACCTCCTTTGTTTTTGTTGTTGTTGACATAATTAAAGAGCAGTATCTTGTTTTTGCTTTTCTTTTCTTTTTTTTTTTATGCTTTAGCAGCCTTTCAGTTACAGCCTTGCAGTGTTCTCACAGACACTATTAATTCTACATTTAAAATAATGTTTGTCTGAATTTTTAAAATTAAATTTAATTTAATTATAACTGCATATTCATACTTTTGATGGTTTTTGATTACCTTAAAGAGATTGTCTTCTATTTTAGCTGCCCAAAATCTGTATTTACAGCTTTATTGACTAACAATTCAAATTAAAAATAATAAAAAGTCCAACCCAATCTACTAGGCCGGTTTTCTTATGAGAACAGCCTTGACACATTAATCAATAATATAGCCAGTTTCATGCAAACAAATATCTGCAACCTTTCTGAAGATTTTGCAGTGATCACACTCCTCTTTTAAAAATACATAGAATGAGCCATGTTTTTCCCTACTCTCTATGCAGAAATGACTCTATTTTGGTGAGAGGGGGCATGAGTAATACTCAGGTCACTCTCAAATATGAGAAACACTCTGAAAATTTATTTCAATAAAGATAATGCTTTCTCAGCATTCTCCAGGAAAGGGAGAGCTCTCAGGTATGCAGAATCCTGCATGTCTAGCTACCTCACATCACACACACTGGAACTCTGTGTACCCTGTCAGCTATGCAGGCAGCTGCGAAGGGGCAGATGAAAGAACTTGAAAAAAAATTGAAAACTGCAGTCAGACAGCAGACCAAAGGAGCTCATTGAAAATTTAAATGCCTCTGTGGGATCTTACCATTTTAACAAACTGGTAAATTCTCATGAAGAACCTTTTCATCTGACTTTTCTGATCATCTCCATTACTCAGCTTGGAATGGTTTAGACTTCAGCCACTGCAAATTCTCTGCCAAGCAGCCTACTTCAGCTGAGCCAGCTCTTCTACTGAGGAACAAGTCAGCAGGATTTCAGACCATCAGAAAGGGTATCCCAACAGTGCAAGGGTTGCTGTAAAGGAATTGGTGATGCCACTGATACCAACTCTAGCTGAGCACTGAACCACTTTTCTAATCTTTTGACAAGTCAATGATGTTGACATTTTCCAGTGTTGTTACTTAGTGTTGGACAGCTGTAATCAGGCTTGGCAAACACCTATACTTCACATTACTTGCATGTGATTTAATCCTTCTGCCTCAGCTTCTCAAGTATGGAAAATTGACAATATTAAAATTATTATCTTCACAGAGGAGTTGTTATAAATAATGTTTTTTTAAAATTCTAGAGGTAATTAAAGTACACAGCAAACATTCCAGCTAAGGACAGATAAGGATATATAAATCTTCTGTAATTTGGTATATGTATTGCTTTTTCTTACTTTCTGATTTTATTTTTTTTTACAGTAATTTCAGTTCAAGTAAGGGAAGGGAATCAGGAAGAAACCAGTGCTTGAGAACCATGTGCAATATGATCTTAATAATTACTGGGTTTTTTTTACTTCCACAGGATGTGCTTTTTTTCCTTCCTTTATCATTAACTTTATTGACTATATTTTGTCAGTTTACCTTTGGCTTCCATCATCTGAGAAACTGGTCTGATCTAAGTAAGATACGGCTTATCTTTTAACATTTATGACCAAAGCAAGTTAGAAATGATGCTGTAATAGCCTTTGCAGAATTTTAGAGTACTTCATGTGATGGTGGCAGCTACGTGTTATATTCTTTACCTGAGATTTTTCCCCCAAAAGAATAATCTTAAGTAGAAATTATAACAGTACCCTTTGCTGTTCACATTTCTTTGTATAACCTTCAAAAACAGGGATTCTAAGTAACTTAAGAGCCCACAAGTATAAATGAATCAGCCACCCTTCCTCCCAACAGAGGGTTCTTTAAACTGTTTTTCAATATGGGCTCCCATTCATTCAAGTACTTTTGAAAATCAGGCCTTTTAGTTATGTGCTTACATGTCACTTGAGGAAACAGATTTTATAATCCCAGTAGAAAAAGCTTGTCCTTAACTTTTCTCAAAAAAATAAGCTAGATTTTTATGCAAACACATGTTGCATTGAATATCTCTTAGCTGAGTATATTCCTTGGTTTTTCCACAAGAACTGATGATACAGAACTGTTTTGAATCACTGGTGGGCTAAGTATGATGACTTGTGCTGTTCTTGACAGAATATGAGTTATAAAAAGCCTGTAACTGTGACGCCTGCTGGATGAATTTTGATTAGAGAGTCCATTTGGAACTCTGCTTTGTGGTTCTGAATTGTTTGTTTGACAAGAATACACTCCTTCAAAGCAATAGCTGCAATATTTGTTGTTAAAAAAAGGAGGATGTATTTTTTCTTTTTGTAGACATTGATTCTGAACCCTCAAGTCCAAATTTTTAATTCAGAGGAACCTGTATTCTAACATTACATAAAGTAACAAGGAAGAAATAAACACAAAGGTCAGCCAACACAAATGAACAACACAACAACACAAATGAATGGTAACAGAAATAATTCAAGATTTATTGCATTTCAGCTTCTTTTGGCTTTATGGACTTGTTTTCTTGAAGGTAGGGTATGAATAGAGACTTCTTAATGATGCAGAATTTAGAAAATAGGAGGCAAAAAAAAAATAAAAATTGCCATTGCCTCCTTAGTGTACTTTTCTCTTTCTTAATATAAACCAACAGGGGGAATCTACAGACTGTTCTCATAGCCTAAGCTGTGGTCAATATGTTCGTTCTCTCTGTCTTCTCTGCTCATTTCTGATGGAAGAGTAGATCTAGAAGAGTTTAGAAATCATAGAATATGGGATTTATTTTTTTAATTAAAACTTGGAATGCAAGGCAAGCTTGAGAATTCCATGTCCTGTAGTTTATTATGTGCAAATATTAAAATAATTCCTCTGTGTCAAATAATAAATCAGATACAAATAACTGCTAGCAACAGAGTGAGGTTACAAGATGACCATGTTTCCAAGCATTTCAGGGGTGGGGAATGCGCAGGTAAAGATTTGCAAAGTAACTTTGTTTCCTCTAGTAGGGTTCCTTCAAGTTATACAAGTATATTTGAAATTAACCTTGATACTCTGCTGTTGGAATACTTGGCTGTCAGCAATATTTTTGTAACAACAGTGCTTTTCATGGAATTATAATTAATATTTTGTATTGTCATCATGGCACAGGCCAAATTTCACAATTAGTCCCTGCAGCACCATTTTACCACCTGAAGAGTAGGTCTCTTGTCACTCTCCCATTTCATTCCAATCTGTGCCAGGTAACCATTTGGAGATAACAATATTTATTTTTTTTTTTCTGGAGAGTCTCCCACAGGCAACATGAAGTCTCTAGTCCTCTGAAATGTACTTGTGGCTTCTGTAAGATACTTCAGCCAGATCCTTGTTGAGTACTAAGAACAGTGCAGACTCAGCACCTTTTCTGTCCACTGACATCAAATTTCTTTGTAAGATGTTTGGAGTGGAAATCAACTCAATTTGTGTAAGGATGCTTCATAAGGGATTTCAGACATCTCTATCATACAAATAAACATTTCTCAAGACATGCAGAGTAATTTTAGGAGTCAGTCTTTATTTATTTGCTTAAAAAGAAGACATGATCCTGGAAAAAATGGTTCTTTTTGATAGGAAGGGCTTTATGAAGTCCTGTATTCTAGCATTTGGCTGAAGAAGGAAGTTTCCTTTTAGATAAAAACATATGAATATTCCTTGCCCATGCTCCAGAAGTTGTCTGAAATCACCGTATCTTTGCATCTACGTCCCTTTGAAAATGCACTTCTCCCCATGCAGCTGCTCAAGGATCAGTCCTGGCCTTTTCCTGGTGGCTGGTAGAGACTCTCCTGTCATGAGTGAGCACCACTGGTTTCTCCCAGTAAAGAGCAGGGGTTATACTGTTGGCCTCAATATAATTAACACTAAAATTTGCTTATATCAAGTATTTGTTAAAAGACATTTTTTAGGAAAACAGAAACTATTAACTACCCATATTTAATAATTTAATAATGATTAAGTATGGAAATATAATAATAATATAATAGCAGAATCGCTTATACAACAGGCAGTTGTATTATTTTTGGGAATGGGAAATTCTGTGATGAGTCAAATTGCACCTAGATATATTCAAATTTTTCTTTTCCAATCAGCAGCTGCCTTTAAGGCAGAGTTCCTTGTGTTGACTGTCTAGAATGCATCCTGTAGTTGGCAACTGCTGTAAGAAATTTCCTGTGTGTACTACCCCTCTTAGTGAAAATCATTCTATTTTGAGCCTAATTGAAAACTGAAGATAGAAAACTAAGCAATTATTTTTCCCTGCAGTACAATATCTAATATTCTGATTTCATGGCTGTCTGACTGCAATGATTAGGAAGGACATTTTCTCAAAGTGTTCGCAGTACCACAGTAATGTATCATGAGCATTGTGTATCAAGGAAAGGAACTGTTACGTTAAAATATGTGCCACTTAAAAACACACACAATTAAAAAGGAGGATGTTGTTCTGTTACATCTGGTGCCGTCCATAATTGTCTTTTCTTGTCTTTTTCTTTGAAAAAGCTATTAAGGATGTGGAAAACAGCCTTCAGCTAGAAAGGCTTTAATAGGAGAGATCTGCAACAACAGAGGTAACACCTCTGCAACAAAGGCATTTTGTGTTTAGAACTGTCCTTCCATGTTAAGTCCAAGATACTATGGTTGTTTTTGCTGGTAGAGAGATTGGATATATGTGTGTAGTTGCTGATGATTATAAAGTTGAACAAACTGAAACAAACTATTCTGTGGGACAAACACTTGTTCGTTAACTTCTGTGTTAAGTGGAAGAGAAGCTCCCAGTATTTACAATGGGTTACTGGCAAGGGGTTAGTAAACAAGGAGAGAAACCTGTTTAAAATGTCCCATAATCTTGCATAGAGAGTTAAAAAAATATACTATCACTTTAAAATGTTTGTTTGTTTGTTTTTTTCTTTTTATATCAGACAGTATTACTGAAGTCTTCACTAACATCTATGTGACCAGTTTTGGACCTGTGTCAGATACTGATATGGTGAGTTCCTGAATCTTTTGTATGTATGGGTAAATGGTTTAAGATATATATATATATATATATAAACTTCCTTTTAACTTGTATTCTTCTTTTACTTATTGCAGATGAATTTGAAATTTCACTGAAATCAGAAAGTGCCAAACCCCATGTAGCTGGAAATTTGGAAATTGGTTTATAGACTTTACATGATAGGTGTGCTTGTGTTAGCTGTGTAATTTAGACCAGTAAATCTTCTGATTGTCCCACTGACTGTACTTTGGTTTATATTCTGGAGCTCTTTTGATATGGATGAACTGGATTCCTCTCAGGTAAAAACCTGGAGTGAAAGGAACAGTCTTAATATTGGCAATAGACTGAGGGACCTAATGGGAGTCAAATCTAAATTAAACTTCTTGAAAGACATAGTTGGAAGCTGGGTCATCAACATGATTGTGTTTTACAGATCTGTCCTTGATAATTTGCATTGTTTAGTAAGCATTTAAGGAAGTCAGTGACATTAAAAGAAAGAAACTTTCAGAATATTGCTCTGGATTATAGGGAATTGTTTGTAGGCTCAGTGCAAATAATATAGAGATTAGGGAGAATGTTTCACACTGGGTAGAAAGACCTGATGAATATAGGTTCTCTAAAAGGGAAGGGAAGGACAATCTCAAAGTTACTTTGAGAGAATATAACTACCTGTTATGCTCCTGTCCACTTGCCTGGTTTAGGAAGAAGGTGGTTTAATTGACTGTGGGTAATGCACAGAAGAGAACAAAATTCTCAGCAGATTCAACAACAAGCTTTTACTTGCAAAATTTAGAACATTAAGGTAGAATAAGGTACTTGACAAATTTTAAAACAACATCCAGGCAAATAAAGTACTTCACAAACTTTAATTTAGCAAACTTAAACTTAGCCACTTAGTAAGTGGCTAAGGCACTTACTAAGGCATTGACAGGAATTTTTTAGTCTGAGTTACAAGGTATTTAGAGAAGTAAGGGAGAAAGAAAGAGAAAGAATAAGAGTAAATGATATTGCCATCCATGGATTTACTAACAGGACTTGATTGTTGCAATTTTGATGTCCTTTGGTCCAAGTCGTATCTTGACCCATCAGGGGTGGGGGAAACCCACAGATTCCAGAGGGTTTATGTATGCTTACCTTTAGGTGGAATGCCCAGGCACCTTCCCTGGGGTGAGGAGTTTTATGCTGTCTTTTTCAGCGCCGTGGATCTGTTTCAACACCGTGGATCCTGCACAGGCCTCTGGTAGAAGGCCCCAGAAATTTGGAAGGGGGGAAGAGGCATTTTAGAGGTTTTTGATGGTTTATGACACCTTCTAAGACATGGCAGCTGCCTCTCAGTCAGTGCAGTTGAGCCCCTTATGCCCCGTCAGAAGGGATGAACATCTTCAGACCTATGCACAAATGTCCCAGTATGTCGTCAGGTCAGGGGGAGCTTTACAACTGAGCCACTTGTGTAAGGATGAACATCAGCATGACAAAAAGTATCAATCCACCTCACGGCATCTACTTCTTTTTAGCCTCTTCCCTTATCTGTCTTGAACCCCAGCTCCTTGCTAAATGAATGTTGCTTTGTCATGGTCATCCCCTGGCACTCACACCCTCTGCACCTGGGCTCTTACTGTGCTCATCCTCAGCAAAGCACCTGATGCTTTTGCAAATGGCTGATTGTTTGAGCCATTAACCTTTAGCATCTCAATCTCTCACATTACCCTTGCCAATCCTGCAAGAAATTATTTTTGAAGTGTTCTGAACATTCACTGTTATGTGTGAGACATACCTAGGTGTGTCTGTAGATATTAAAAATGAATATTTTTTAAATCAGACAATGTTTCTTTTTCTATGAAAAAAATCAAGTTATGCATCATACAAAACAGGAAACATTATGATGTTATGATAAATTTTATGAAGCTAAATTTTTCATGGCCCATTGTACATTTTAAAAGTTATTTGCTTGCTGTTTACCAGTTAATCATAACCCTGGAGAATATATTCTGGTGGGGTTTTGTGTTTGTTTTTCGTGTGGGATAGATTCAGTTTTCAAGCTCTGTTTTGATAGTTATGAGTACACTAGTAAGGCTTCATATGAAAGGTCATTTCATAGGAGAAATAGACTTTTGTTTTCATTACTGTACATGTTGCTGATTCTCTTGAGGTGTTTTTTTCTAATGATTTTTGGTTTATGAAGTTGTTCTTATTTTGCTATTAATTTTGTAAAAAAGGTATTCACAGCTATGTACAAAGATGGTATGAACATCTTGACCTTGTTGGTCTAGTATCTCATTATTTAGAGTGGTAAAGTCTTGCATTTATGATAGTCCTGTGTAACAGGGAGGTGATATTAAACCACTTTTAAAGATGGGTATTGAGGCACAAGGAGACTTACCCAAGGCTGCGCAAGTCCTCTGTGCTTAAATGGAAATGTAATGAAAAGCTCCCTAAGCCTATTCCCTCACTCCCAACACACTTTTGACATCAATGGATAAATGTATGGGGAACTCTGGGTGCCTATTTGCACAGACATATAGGCAGTGCAGTGAGGGGTCAGGTCCTTTGATGCTACAGCTCTAACAGATCCATGCAGAGCTGTTAATCAAAGCAGAGCGCAGCGCATCAGAATGGCAGCTGTTCCTCTAATGGGTAGCTTTATTTGCAGATAAGTAGATAGATAAATAAGAGCAGTTTAATTCTTATTACTACAAGCTTCAGGGTTAGTTTAGCTTGTTCTGTTGATAATTATAAAATAATTTTGAAATGTATGAGCAGTCAATTAGAAAATTCCAACATGTGTGTTTTGAAATAATAGCTTCCAAACCATCACATATTCTGTCGAACATGAAGGTGACATTAGAGTTTTAACCATGAGTACTTTTTCATTCAGGACCTGCATGACTGAATCAATAATGTAAACTATTATACAGAGGATTCATTGATATTTTCTTCTGTAAATCTTGGAAACTCTGGGATATTATAATTTTCTAAAATTTTTTCCTTAAAAGGCTTCATTGGAAGAATAAGTTTGACTCTTGCCCACGTCCTCCAGAATTTTTAGAGGATGCTAAACTCAGATTTTTCCAGGAAGGTTGGGTCCCAGCCCCTGAAGTCCTCTGCTGTCACAATGTGAATGGCGAGGCCCTCAGTCACATGAGGTATTTAGGCTGAACACTGCTGTTGCCCAAAACTCTCATGATTATTTTTGCCCCTAGGATTCCTTCCACTGGGATTTCTTATAGTAATAAAATCATCAGGTGTGTGACTGCATCCCTTTGCATTATCTATTTTCCAGTTTGTGTTATCCTCCTTGGTTGATATCTTGTGAAGAATAACGGTGCTTAGAAGAGGTTTTTGAAAAGAGGAAGGGGACTCACTGACATGGGAGATGTTTAATATGCATTTAGAATATGGATATATGAATATCACTGCACACAGGTAGTGATGGATGGATTGGAGCTAAGGACGCAGTTCTCACATAGTGTTGATTCACAAAGTTGATAAAATGTAATTCTAATATTTGTTATTGAATTGTTAATGGATGCATGAGGTTTCTGTTTTCCTCACTAGCAGTTCCCATTAATAGTAATATAGCATGGTGTATGATCTATGACTTGGTATGATTGCTAGAATATGGGTTTTTATTCACATTCACTGTATTTTTCCCGTGTCATGACTTTGCCATAAAATAATTATGTCCAGGGGAATTTGATCTTTGACTGATGTTAAGCTAGCTGAAATTGCCATTGATAAATTCAGGAAGTAGAAGCTGAGGCTGAGATTTTTCTCTAAATGTGTTAAGAGTCAAAAACAGTTGGTCCTTGTAGGGGATTAACATTTTGACTAAGTTCAAAAGATGCTAATCTCTGTTCTGACTAAAATAGTCAGCTACCAAATCTGTTCACTCTTGGCCTGGAGTCTGTTGCAAACTGTGCTTCAAGTGAACAAAAATATTTGGGTATCTGTATGATTTGTGTCAAAGAAAAGCTATTGTATGTCAACCACTCTATTTAATGTCAAATATGTGGTGGCAATATATAAGAATTTTAAACTTCCTTTTGCAAACTAGTGAGAATCAAGGAAGGCAAAGAAAAACGTGGGTTTAAACAGATTTTACTTTCACTCCTCTGTCTTTTTGAGCTGTTATTTCTCAGAAATGTTCAAGTTCAGTATTGTGATACTATGCCTTATAGGCTTCCAACCCAATCAGTGATACAAATTTATTTTGACATTAGCCCGAGAGAAGAAAAGCTGCATTGTTTAGAAAAACAAACAAATGAAAAATTGAACAGAACAACTGAAAAACAAAGCAGCTCTTAATTTTCTGAAGAGTTATAGGAGTAAATTATTATTACAGAGGCTAATTAAAGCATTTATCATGAAATTAAAATGTTTAATATTTGAAAATGCAGAGGTAAAGAATGAAGTCAGTTGAATTTGTAGGCTAAAAAGGATTGAACATTTAACCTGATTATTTTTCTGCTTTTAAAAATTAATTATTTGAAATCTGGTAGACTGTACCATCATTATAAATCTACATGCTACTAACTTGAATTTCATCACTGAAAGCAATGTATTTTTACCTCTTTTTCTCAGACTTGGTGTCTTTCCAAGCTCTCCTGACACTTTGACTCCAAAAATTTCCCCCATAACCATAGACATAGTAAGTGCTGCCGTCCACAACTGAAAAAAAAAAAAATACGTATACAATAAATGAGAAATGAAACTATTGCTATTTACTCCTCAAGCAATAGTTATTTTGTGTAAGAAAGATTATGTAGGTGCTGATACCCTTTATATAAGATCTGGTGTGAAGAAGGGTTTGCCAAGGTTTATCAAATTTTGCCTTGGAACAGTCTTTCTGATTGTCACTGGGAACAGTCTTTCCTCCTTTCCTACAACACACGGTTAGTAGGTGGCAGGACTTAAATCAGTTTAGCTAGAATATTAAAACTAAGAAGCTTTCTGAAACTTTTGTATTTCAACTTGGAGTCTTAGATTTTCGT